GCCATATTATTGAATAAGCCCAATGATGGGTTGCAGACGGTACACCCCAGTATGGGCCTACCGGATCTTGCCCGGAGCACCGGGTACCATTCTGGTACGGTGCTTCGGAGGGCTCACCTGCCCGCCCAAGATCCTTACCTGTGCTTAAACTTTTGGCGCTTTCGTACATGCGTATGGCATGTACAACACCTGCGCGGTGCTCCGCCGAGCAGCTGGAACATTGCAGAGGCTTGGGGAAGCATCATTTGACGCTACAACGCATGTGCACGTGAATGTGGGTGACTCCGGGGCCGAATCTGGAACCCACCACTGAATAAGCAGCACGTGGCTGGGTTCACCCAACTTGCTCAGTGGTGAACTAGAACGTGGTTGGTTTGATTTAACAGGATGTCTAAGGGTGTTTTTGATTCTTTGTGTTAAAATGTTGATGTTTCTCAACTATCAAATCTGAGGAAACCAGTGGTGGGTTCCGGGCGGTAGAGCCCAGTACAGCCGTACCGGTGGTAGCCAGGAGCAGCGGCCACCATACCGGTACAGTGGCTCATTTGGCCCACCTGCGTTCCTTACCTGTTTTTGAAGCAATTGGGCCAAATTCCCACATGTGCACAGCATGCAGCCCCTGCGCAACCTCCACTGAGCAGCTGGGTGTTGCAGGGTGGTGGTGTGCGCATGCATGCACAGTGTGCGTGCCCGACGAGGACGCTCGGCATACTGGTAGCAACAGGAACCAGAACCCACCACGGGAGGAAAGCCACCATTCCTGGGCAATGTGTTATGAACTACAGAGATCCTACTATGGCAGTACATAGGTTTGTAACATGTTGCCAGGCGTGGTGGGTTTCCTCAAATTTCCTATACCACTCAGAGGCCCTGATGTTAAGGTGATGTTAGGATGGGTTCAAGAAGACACTTCGTGTTAGATTCCATTCCCTTTCTAGCCAGAGAGTAATAATCTGGGGAAACCCATCACTCTGTGCTACTTTCTAGGGCCCACGTGGGATTGCAGCCAAAATGATGGGTAAGAAACTTCATGCAATTGGAAGACAGGCTTGTTCTGCCTCTTAAGAAACCCATGTGCCAAATATTTGCCTTCATAATTCTGCTAAACACAACATTTTGACTGGAGAAACTCTCCAAAGCTACGAAATGGATGTAAATATAGAAAACAAAGTATTATTGAATGATCATGCCACGGATATCTTTCCTTTGTGTTATGTACCTTTGCTCTTAGTTTCAGCATGTCTTAATTTTGGCCTGGGCTCTGTTACTGTGATAAGCTTGAGAAATATATCATGTATTGTTCAACTGGCGGCTTTCATGTCTTTAAGTATATCTAGATACTCGTTAATAAGGGGCAAGTAGCAATAGCAATAGCACTTAGACTTATATACCGCTTTACAGCTCACTCTAAGCGGTTTGCAGTGTCAGTCTCTTGCCCCCAACTATCTGGGTCCTCATTTTACCGACCTTGGAAGAATGGAAGGTTGAGTCAACCTTGAGCCTGGTGGGATTCGAACTGTTAAATTGCAGGCAGCCAGCAAGCAGCAGAAGTAGCCTGCATTTCTGCACTCTAACCACTGCACCACCATGGCTCTTATAGGTAATTTCATGCATCCCAGTTAGTTTAAGCTACAGCTCCCATAGTCCCTGCTAGCTGAAAGGGATAACAGTTATATTCAGAGTGGTTGTTGACCAATTGTTGCATTAAAAGATGGCGGGCAAAACTGATTAATTGCTCACTCATGAGATTAATCACAACAGCCTTGCTGTCTTCAACAGCGGCCTGCAGAATGTGGCCCCTGTGGGAAGATATTATTGTAAAAGTCCAGAGCTGTGGCTGATTTTTGGAAATAAATTAATTCCGTAGGGGGGAGATCCTATGTAGCTCCTTGTCTGCGGTGATCTTGTACTGACCCTCCCACCCTTTTCCAATTAATACTTGAAATGCCTTTGAGAGGCCCAACTTTATTGTCCGTCACTTTAACTGAGAGACACCCCCCCTCCCAGTTTTAATACTGAGAAAAGACCATCCAGGGCACTTTGGGCTTCTAGCGGCACCCGCATCCCTCCACCACCATGTCTTGGTAGGTCTTGAGGACCACCATATCGTTCTGGTCTAGGTAAAGCATAGCAATGGGGCTGAGCTCTGTGGGGACACAGCAGGCCTTGGGCACTTTGGAGTTCACCGAGTTCAGGATGGTCTGCACCACAGCATGGCTGGAAGAGTTCATGTGGTCAGCCAGCGGGAAGCGGCAGTCCCCCGAGCAGTAGAAAGCATGGTAGCCACTAGGAGCAATGATCCAGTCGTTCCATCCCACCGCCTTGAAATCCACAAAGAGGCGGTGCCTTCTGCACCTGGTGCCGCTTTTCACCTTTGGCCTCAGGCCCTTGTGCTTCCTGGCAGAGACTGTGGCTTTGGTCGCTCCTTTGCCTCTAACGGGGCGGCTTCTGCTTTGCCTTTTTTGGTTGGTCAGAGGTTGCCCTCTTCGGTCACGGCTGTAGGTGACCAGTAAAGGTCTTTCGAGAGCCCACTGGGCCTCCTCTTGGCCGGGAGAGCGTCTTGCACGCAGGGGAACCTGTTGGCGCGGAAGGTCTTGGCTGCGGTTCGAAGGCTGCACCTCGACCAGAAGGCCAAGGTCACGCTTCCGTTCTCTTGCTTCCCGGAAAGCAGCCGTCACATCAAAACTCACCCATTGAGGCTGGCTGGGAGTCACCAATTTGCACGTGAGGAGCCGGCTCTTGTTTGGGGCCACAGGTGGGGGATCCACGGCGTGGTAAATGTGGATGTATAAGCCGTGGCTTTCCTTCGAGGAGTGGTAGAGACGCAGCTCAAGGGCGGTCAACTCCTCCTCCACAGGCAGCACGGTGAGGTTGAACAGGAAGTAGAACGCATTTCCTGCGCTTTCAGAGACATGCACCGAATCCTCTAAATGTGGGGGAAATGAGCAGAAGTAAAGAAAACTTGGGACTGACAATTTGAATCAAATAACTACCTTGGTGGAATTAACAGGACGTCTCTTGTCCTGTCGCTTATGTCCTTCTCCAGCCAACCAGTTGTGTCTCGGAAGCTCACAAGTGTGACCTGCAGACAACAGCATGCCCTTCCTTGTCATTTCTATCTAGGACAGGGGTCTCCACCCTGGGCAGCTTTAATAATTTGTGGACTTCAACTCCCAGAATTCCTCAGCCAGCAAAGCAACGGGCTTGTTGCAATAGACATAAATATGAAACCCGGTCATGTCACTTTTCCCCCCTGCTATTGCAACTTTGACCGGTCACTAAATAAACAGTTGAAAGTCGAGAACTACTGAATTGTCTTTCAAATAGAAGTTTAGTCTGGTTCCCAACTTTTCTGGCTTTGCAGATCGGTGGTGGTGGTGGGTGGAATGGTTCACACAAGCGGCCAGCATGCACATGCGCAGCTCTGTTTGCACCAGAGGCGTGTATGCACGCCTGCCGCTCACAGAAAGGGAGTGCATGTGCACTCACCCGCTGCTTGTGCAAGTGAGTGTGTACATTCCCCTGCCACAAGAGGAACGCTGACTTGAGTCACTAGGATGGGATCCAAAGCCAATTATATTTAAGCCTCCCTGCTTTTGCCTTAGGAAGAAAGGAAAGCTTTGGAGGAAGCTCGGAACACATTTACTTTTATGGCTATCGTGTTAGACCAGCCATTTCCTCCCGTGGTTGTAAAACAACAACCACACAAGGAAGTCGCCAGCGCAACACGCTCTCTCTTCTCTGAACTGGAGAATATTTTAGCCGCTGAAATTGGCAGTCAACCAATCTTGGGGGTGACCATGGCTTTCCACGCTCCATAGATGGCACCACAATCCAAATTAACAACTTTTAGTCCCCTTCTCACTTCAGCAGTGACAGCACAAGCCCCCCCCTCCCCATTTTCGAGAATAAACAACAGCAACAAAATATGGTGACTTCCATAGACAAACTGTTGGGGAACCTAAAATGACTGTAGAGATTCTCAGTCCTCCAGGTCCCGGTTGGCTCAAAGGTGCTTTTTCAAAAGGCCACTGGACTTTCTTTTTCCTCTTGCGTAAGCCTCTTTAGGCATTTGGCTGATTGATATCCCCTGAGGTATTACTACCACTACTGGTAAAACCTCACCTGGAGTACTGCAACTAGTTTTGGTCACCATACTACGAAAAAGATGTTGAGACTTTGGAAAAAGTTCAGAGAAGAGCGAATAAGAGGATCAAAGGCCTGGAGACTGAAACATATAAAGAACGGCTACAGGATTTGGGTATGGCCAGTCTAGAAAAAAGAAGAATTAGGGGGTGATAGGATAGCAGTATTCCAGTACTTGAGGAGCTGCCCCCAAAGAAGAGGGGGTGAAATTATTCTCCAAAGCACCTGAAGGCAGGACAAGAAGCAATGGTTGGAAACTAAGCAAGGAGAGAAGCAACTTAGAACAGAGGAGAAATTTCCTGACAGTGAGAACAATTAACTGGTGGAACAGCTTGTGGGTGTTCCATCACTGGAGGTTTTTAAGAAGAGACTGGGCAGTCCCTTGTCTGAGATCGTATAGATTCTCCTGCTTGAGCTGGGGGCTGGACTAGCAGACCTCCAAGGCCCCTTGCAGCTCATTCCTTCTACTGAATCGTTCTAAGTTTGGATCATGGTGGTCGGTGGATCTGTCACGGAATATTTAAAAGAGTTAAAAGAAGTCAGGCTGAAGGTCTGCCTACCTTGGGACTCTCTGCTTTGCTGGCTGCAGATTCTTAAAAAGAAAGAGGAGAATTCACCCTGCCTCCTAAACCTTCTGTCCTGGAGATAGCTGATGATTCGCCCCTGGGATCTTTAGCATGCCAACTTGGGCTCATTATCCATTGAGCTAAGTCCTTCCCATTTAAGTAGCCCCATCGGCTTGTGACGTTTATGGCTTTCTGCCCCTCGGCTCTTTTTTCAAGGGAGTTTTATAGGTTCTGATTCCTGCCACCACCTTAAGCTTTGTGCCTCGGTTCCCAAGAGGCAACACAGCCTTTCTCTTCCCTCTCTCCTCCCTCAGCCCCCGTTAAGGTGGGGAATGGAGCCAGGGTCTCACCAACATGATGGAAGGTGCGCACGGTGTTGGCTGTCGCTTCTCGGCCTTCCAGGAAGGGTTGCTCGGTGTCCTTTGGAGACGCTGGAGGCTTCCTGGAGGAAAACCGGTATAGATCCAGCAGGTACTGGGGGACCATCAGTTTGGGTTTGGGCTCTGGCCGCCTTTGCAGGCCCAGCCGTTTCAACAGGACGGTTTGGAAGATTTGGAGGGGAAGCTGCTCTGGGATGCGCTTGCTCTTGGGCTCAGCAGTGCCTGGCGATGCCATCTGGAGACTCTCGGATGCCCAGAAGGCGAGAGGTACGAGTAAAATCACCCAAACGGGCAAGTTACCAGAAATCATTGTGGAACTGGCGACGTTGTGGCAAGCGAGGGGGGGGGGAAGAGAGAGAGAGAGAGAGAGAGAGGGAATGATGGATAAATGTAGCATATAACATAAGATAACGTTTATTGTTGCTTTTTTTCTGTGAATTCACTGGCACACATGAGCAAATGAAATTCTCTGTGCCCGCTTCTCAAAGGAAAATATATAGAATAGAATTCTTCACTGGCCAGGTGTGATTGGACACACAAAGAATTTGTCTCTAGTGCAGAAGCTCACAGTGTGCAATCATGGGTCATAGGTCAATAGGTATATAACACCGCCAACAAAGATACCTGTACATGGAGTCCTCAACTTACAACAGTTTGTTTAGTGGCTGTTTGTAATCACTTGGGGCCATTTTTTCACACTTACGACCATTGCAGCCTCCCCAGGGCAACGTGATCGAAATTTAGACACCTGGCAACCGGCTGCAGTGTCCCGGGATCACGTGATCCCCTTTTGCGACCTTCTGACAAACAAAGTCAACGGGGAAGCCAGATCCACTTAACAACCAGTGTCACTAATTGAACAACTGCAGGGGTTCCGTTAAGCACCGTGGCAAGAAAGGTGGTAAACTGGAACCAAACTCAACTCGGCAACTGCCTCTCTTAGCAACAGAAATTTGGGGCTCTTATCTCTGTAAGCCGAGGACTGCTTGTGCTCCTCCCAAACGCCAGCTAAGTAAAGTAGCAGCATTGGTTTTGTAGTCCTTTCTTTTTAACCTACCACCCACCTATCCTGAAGGAGGACTTACTTGCAAAAGTTGAAGTTCTGGGCAAGAATCCATGTTCCTTCCCCCACTTAATGGCCTCTTCCTTGTCCGCTTGCTCTTCAAGCTTTCCCCAGCTCTTCTGGGTCACCCATAGCAGGAAAGCCTCTTGGAGACCTCGGGGGCAGAGCCAGTCCCCTTGGCCTTCTCTGTCCACCTTGAAATGAGAGAGAGAGCAGGTCCCGGCACTCGTTCAGATTGCCTGGGCTGTGCCCACCCTGCCGGTGGAGGTGCCGGTCTCCCTGCTCTCAGGATGTGATGTCAGCCAGACGAGTGAGTGTCCAGAGCCAAAATAAACAAGCGGTTGAAAGTTGTCGCTTCTGTGCACCCTGCAGCAACACCACAGCGGCTCTTTGCCCACCACTGGAGAAGAGCCCCGTGTGTCATCTGTTGGGCCCAGATACAGAAGAAGGAGCATTCGGACCTCCGTGCTGGTAGTTGCCAAGATCCGTTTCCCAGATAGCATCGAGCATGGAAGGTGGCTGCCTTTTCCCACAACCCCCCTTGGTGAAACATTCAGAAGGCCTTTGCTACACTGGGCCATTATTCAGACGTCATCATGTCAACCTGTGTCGGAGCTCATTCTGCCAGCCCTTGTAATTTAGCTGCCATTGGCCTGGATTTTATTCCAGATTTTAGTTGTTATTTGTTATTTTATACTAGAATTTTTAACTGAGCGTTTTTATCTGTTCTGGTCTAAGGCTGTAATAAATTGATTGATTGATAGCTGCCATCGCCTAGATTGTGACAAAACATATGAGGATTCTGATGGGGAAACATTTTTGAAAGTGACTAGACAAAGTTTCTCAACCTTGGTGACTTTTAGATGTACAGACTTCAACTCCCAGAATTCCCAAACTTCAAGAAGAAGAAGAAGAACTGTGGGAAGCTTGATGCTCTGAGCTTGTTGGTTTTTTTGCTGGTGTTTCATTACCCAACTGGGTTACATCACCAGTGCTACATTTACAGGATTTACAGAGCTCAAACCCCACATCCTTCTAGCACTGATGATGTTACCTAGTTTGGTAATGAAATGTCTGCAAGAAAACAAGCTGAGAGAGCACCGAGAATCCCACAGTCGTCCTCTTCTCCTCCTCCACTACACAAATTCTTCTGGCATGGATGATGTTACCTAGCTTGGTAATGAGACGCTTGTAAGAGAACCACCAAGCTCCGATAGCACGAAGGATCTCACTGTATGGCCTTTTGTCACACAGGTCTAGCAGCCCTTTCCTAGTCTTCTGTCCCTGGAATGGGTCTTCGCCATTAGCCCCACAGAGCAACCCCAAATCAACGCTGGTTTTTATGTCGAACCCCGTGGCTGTTTCTTTAATATTCACCCATCGCAGGTCACATTCCATCAGAAACCCACATCACAACCCAAGCCAGCCTTGCCAACATCCTCTCCCCCCCCCATACACCCCCTGGCCCCATGCCCAGGAGTGCCGCAGGTCTGAGCCGGGTTCTTATCAGGCCGGTTGGAGAGGGCTTCCAGCGGCCAGGAACTTCCTCTCCTGCCAGACAACACACTGGGAGAATGAGCTGTCTGTGGAAAGAGCGCATAAACAGGGCATAAACAGCCAGCGCAGGACGTTTGGAACAAACACACCACACAGGAATGTTGTCTGACCAGGGACTCGGGGGGGGGGGGGTTGTCTCTCCCGAGACTCAAACCCGGAGCTTTTCGTCCCAGAAACCCGGCTGTGTCTCGAAGCAAAAGCTGGAAAATATTTTGCTCGCTCAGAGCGAGCATACGTGATATTCCCAGGGCCTGTGTCTGGGATTCAGCCAGGCCTCCTGTTGTTCAGCCACATCTCCAGAGAGTCATCGGGGGGTGGAGGGAGGTCACCGTAGCTACAACTGCCCCCCCTCCCCGGGCTGAATTATGCACCAGGAGAGCGTAGCCCTCTTTGGGCTAATTTTCTGGACATGAAAACCAATTAATTATCCTTTAGCCAACATTTCCCAGGGCTCTTTTGATTCCTCTTCAACCCATCAGGCCACTATGGAGCTGCCCACGGTACGTTACAGCAGGGGTGTCTAACTTTGGCGACTTTTAAGACCCGTGGACTTCAATTCCCATAATTCCCCTGCCAGCCATGCTGGGAAGTCTGCAGGTCTTAAAAGTGGCCAGGTCTGGACACCATTTTAGTTCATAGTTTACTTTATTGTCAATGCACCTCGTACAACGAAATGAAATGCCATCTTCAGTGTACATTATACATTAAAAAATAAGACAAAAGCCCACATCCTTCACACTCTATAAATTGTATTGAAAACCCCTGATACTGCATTCATATTGCACCATACAGTAGAATTCAATAGAGTTCCTTCTCTGGGATAGAAGCTGTTTTTCAGCCTCTTTGTCCTTGTTTTTATTGCCTGTACCGTCTGCCTGGTGGTAATAGTTCAAAAATAAAAAAAGGTGCCCAGGATGAGATGGATCTTTAAGAATGTGTTGAACTTTCTTAAGGCAGCGGGAGCTGTAAATCTCTTCCAAAGAGGGGAGTGGGCAGCCCAGGATCCTCTGGGCAATGACGTTGACCCTCTGGAGCGCTGCCCTATCTGCCACTGTGCAGTTGGCAAACCAGACACAGGCGCAGCGAGTTCAAATACACTCTCTGATTCTTTGTGACAGTAACAAGAAAGAAGCTGCTGCTGATCGTCTTAATTCTGAAGTGAAGTTACAGAAGGAAAGCTAAGAACGGTTTCTTAAGCCAGCCCTCTCCCCCCCCCCCCCAAATCTGATGCCACACCGAATCAGAGGCAGCCTAGGATTGGCTATCCTGGTTTATTCAGAGAACAGCTTGCTCGGGTGTCTTTTCTTGCGTCCGAGTTGTTTTAAAAGCGTAGCCAGTTCTTTGACCCGAGTGGTCATTTGGAGAGCTGAATCTCTACAGATGCTTTTGGTGGCCAGCCAGGTCCAATTTGAAAGGAGAGAATTCCCAAATCGGCTAGAGCAGAGTGGGTCGTTTTGCATGGACCGGATCATCGTGGTCGAAAAGACGGCAAGATTGGTGCGGCAAATTGTACCAACATATACAGGTAGTCCTCAATTTACAACCCATTCGTTTAGTGACCGTTTGAAGTGACAATGACACTGAAAAAAAGCGACATGACCATTTTTCACACTTACAACTATGGGTGGCGCGTCTCCATGGATGCAGGGTTAAAATTTGGACGCTTGGCAACTGACTCATATTTATGACGGTCGCAGTGTCCCGGGGTCATGCGACCCTTTGGCGACCATCTGACAAGCAAAGTCAGTGGGGAAAGCCAGATTCACTTAGCAACTGTGTGACTAACTTTGCAGTGATTCACTTAACAACTGTAGCAAGAAAAACTCCAGAACGGTCTCGCTTAGCAACAGAAATTTTGGGCTCAATTGTGGTCCTAATTCAAGCTGTATCAAGCCCTCTGCTCCTAAAATAGAGATTTGGTCCTTTGATGGGCCAAATTTGACTCGGTGACAACTAAGGCCTTGCAATCCCAACTTCTGCAGAAGATGGAGAAAGTTGAAGACACCGCTCTGGTCAAACACTAAAGGCCAGGCTGGGGCCTTTAATGTAAAAGATCAAAGACACATGTGAACCCTGGTGGCGCAGTGGTTAGAATGCAACATTGCAGGCCAACTCTGCGGACTGCCAGCAGTTCGATCCTGACTGCTTCGAGGTTGGTAAATTGAGGACTCAGAGTGTGGAGGGCAAGCTGCTTAGAGAGGGCTGTAAAGTGGGGTATAAGTCTCGAATGCTCTTGGCTATTGTCGTTTTCTCCCACCCAATTGCCGTCTTGCTTTGCTTCAGAGACTGGCGCTGTCCTTGGCCGCTGCGCTCTTTCTCCCGTTGAACTGTGGAAAACATCCCCTCTGCCGATGACTTGGGCTTGGCCGCCTGCCGGAGGGGATGTTGGCACAGCAAGGAAGCGTCAACTTGGTGCCGCCACCATCCAGAGCTGGAAAATAGGCTGTCCTTGTGCAGCTGCACTTCCTGTTTACAAGGCTGTGTAAGCCTAGGTTAACTCTGTGGTGTCCAGCAGATTGCAGAGAGGATGAGCTGGACGGGCAGGCAGGATTGCCAGCTAGGCCAGACTTTTTTATAAAACATAGATAGATAGATAGATAAATAGATGGATGGATGATAGGTAGGTAGGTAGGTAGGTAGATAGATAGATAGATAGATAGATAGATAGATAGATAGATAGATAGATAGATAGATAGATAGATAGATAGANAATCTCCACGGGGAGTTCGTTCCAGAGGGTCGGAGCAGCCACAGAGAAGGCTCTCCTCCGGGTAGTCGCCAGTCGACACTGACCGGCGGATGGAATTCGGAGGAGGCCTAGTCTGTGGGATCTAATTGGTCTAGAGGAGGTAATTGGACAGATAACCTCATCGTCATCACAATGAGTGAAAGCCCCAGGGAGAGAGTATGGGGAAGAGGGGATCTTTGCTTACCATGCCGCCAAGGATCCTTCGGCTCCACAGCGCCAGACACGATGTCTTCATCAGAAGGGAAAGTCACGTGCTTTGCCCCAGGCTTAAGCTTCCCCTCATCCACAGACGGGGAGCCCTGGCTTAACAGGTCATCTGCTGGTGTGTCCCCGCTGGCTGTTTCCAAGCTCAAACCGCAGTTCTGAGGAGAGGACTCCGCCTTATCAGGCAAATGGTTATTTTGCTCAGCAGCAGACCGTTCCTTGTCCCCGAGGCATTCTGGAACGGTCGTCCCAAGAGGTTCTGCGACTAAAGGGGTGTTGCTGTCTCCACCGTCGGCCACTTCGTTGACCGATGACCGTTCCTGCCGATGGTTCAAAGCGCCCAACAATTTCAAGTCCTCCTCTGCCCCATCACAACTCTCGGTCTCTTTTGGGTCCTCCTTTAAAGAACACGAGGTACAACGTTCTACAGTATCTCTGACATAAGGGTGGTCCTGGAGGGAGGGAAGGGTCTCTGTACTTTTGGAACAAAACTCCTTAGTGTCTTGAAACGTCTTCACGCCATCTTGGCTCTTGGTCAGTTGGGAAGCAGGCCAGGGGTCAGAGCCTCCCAAAAGGGTCTCCTCTTCCTTCCGCACAGCAGGAGAGGGCAGGAGCAGCAGCACACGGTCCCCCCCCTCAGCAGCTTTGCCTTGTGGCTGCACAGGTGAAACCTGCACACACTCCATAGCCAGGCAGGTGAGGTGGGTGTCTGTCAAAGGGGGAGCGCCTTCTTCCCTTCTCATGAGTCCTTCGGCGTCATTACTTAAGGAACAGAACTCACCTTTTCCCTTCCTATCTTTCGCCGCCCACTCCTTCAGGAAAAGGGAGAGGGGGAAAGCTCTCACGTTTTCCAGGCCTTCTCCCTATGAGCAGTGGTGTAAAGAGACCGAGCTCTTGTTGGCCCAAAGGAAGCTGCTACATGAAGCATGGGTGAAGATTAAAAGAAATGGGGGACAGGGGAGGAGAGATAGAATATGCAAGCCCTCCTCTCTCTCTTTCTCTGTGTAAAATCCTTGTTTGAGATTAGAAGAAAGCTGCTAGAAGACACAGGTCATCAAGGAAACAGCATGGAGAGGGTTGGATTTATGGGAGTGGGGGGGAGTGGAGGATAATTAAATGGGTCCCAGCAATGCCTTCTCTAGCCTGCAAAACAGAGAAAACAATTCGCTTTCGTTATCCTTTCCCTGTAAAAAGGGATCAGGCAGGGCACACCTAAGCCGGAAACGCATCAGGCTTAAATAACAAGACTATTAAAAAGAAAAATCCGTCCGGCGGCGGCAGCAGCTTCTCTCCCTCCCTCCCTCCCACCAGCAAAGAGGGAAAGAGAGAGAGAGAGGAAAGGAAAAGTTTACTCAAGCAGGAACCCAGCGGAGGCCAGCAAAACAAATAAGCCTGCAGCTGTCAGGAGCCAAACCAAAAAGCACCCGGCGGGGAAGTCGACTTTCCTGGGGCAGAAAAAGATTATTTAAAAAAAGAAAAATATAGGGGGCGGGGGGGGGGCGCGTTGCTTTTGGCAGAAGCATGCACGTGCAAGGAAAAGTTGGGGGGGGGGATTATCGCCTCTGAGATATGGAGTCTGTCTTGGGGGGGGGAGAGGAAAAGAGACGGACAGATATATATATATAAATAGATGGAGAGAGAGGGGGGGTCACCGTCCGCTGAGGGGGGAGGAAGGGAGTCTCCGGGGGTGCACAGAAGGAATCTCTCCAGATAAAAAAAAAACAAGCAAACAAGCGGGAGCTCCGGGAGCGGCCAGGCGAAGGAGAGAGAGGATCCCGTCCAGGCGAAGGTTTTCCTCCCAGGGAGCTGGGCCTCAAGACCCTCTTCCCCCACGTTTTTCGGGTGGGGGGCAGCAGGAGAGACAAGAGAGAGGCCGCCCGGGAGGAATACGCACCCGGAGGAGCGCCGGGAGTCGGAGGAGGAGAAGAGGACAGGCGGGAGGGAGCCCGAAAGCCGTTCGCGAGGCAAGGAAAGGCGGAGGAGCAGCCGGTGCGCGAGGCGACCAAGGTCCGCAGCCGCCGCCGCCGCCTCAGGCAGGTGCGGACGCAAAAGAAGACGCCGCTCCCCTTCGCCGCCGCCGCCGCCGCCACCTCCAGGTCTAAGTGCGCTTGCGGCCTGCGCATCGGCCGACGCACTTTCGACAAAGCGCTGCCTGAGCGGCTCGGCTTTCGTTCCCGCTCTTTCTCTCACAATCCGGAGGCAGTGCTCGGATTTCCACCGCACCCGGCTTTTCCCTAAGGGAGGGTCCCGCGGTTTGTTTGGTTTGTTTTTCTTCCTCTGCTCTTCACCCTGCCGGTGGGAGTTTGGCGAATCGGCGAGTGGGGTTTGCAAGGCAGCGTTGTGGAGCGGAGCGGCCCCTCCTTCTCCTCCTGGCTTGGCCTCCCCGCTCTCCCCCCCCCCCCCTCCCGACTCCAACGAGTGAAAGCGCCTGGTTTGGGTTTCCGTTCCGCACTTTCGGTTTTTCACGCGGTGTCTCGAGGAAAGGGAAACCCTGAAAAATCTCACCCCGGGTGGTTTCAGACCGGAAAATTGAAACCGGCTTTTAAAAACGCAACATTCAAAAAGAAAGCACGCCGGCGACCGAAAGAGGATGTCGAATGTGGCGATGGGGGAAGCGGACTGAACCAAAACCAAAAAAAAGCCCCAACCGCCTGACTCTGACGAAAAGCTCACGCTTTCTTAGCTCACTTTCCCAAGGCTACGTAAGGGATGGCTGACGCATGCGCCTTACTCGTCTCCCGGCTCATTAGTCTAAAGCCATAGATTTGGCAGTCCTCCTCTGGCCAGACAGGTCCTTAGTTTAAGCGATCGGCTTAAAGGAAGAGCTTTAAAATGTTTCCGGGCAAAGAGGTCACGCCGCTTCTCCTCACCGTTATCCCGTCGCCTCAGGAGGAGCGAATTGGAGGCTGTCATGAGGAGCTAATTCCAGCCAGGCCCGCGCAAGTTAGTTCACCTTAATTAAAGGATTTTTACGGAAATGCTACTTTTCTGGGCCAAGGGGAGGTTTTTAGGGTTAGGGGTCCCAACCAGGAGGGCGCCCTGCATAATTATTACATTAGGCTGCCTTGCCCGGCTGGGCCTTTTATCCCATCCAGCTCTTGATCCCCGTGGTTGATTTTCGGCTCTGCTATAACCCCAAGAAAGAAACCGAGCCAGGATTTTAAAAAAACATTGTCTGTTAACCCAGAAAACGGTGGAGTTTGGGCAATTGAAGGGAGCTGATTGTTTACTGGCCGGATGCCCTTTCCTGTTGCCAGTGCGGAGTTTTATTCAGCAGATATATTCTCATTGTGCCCAGAGAGAGAGAGAAATATCTGCCTCTACCTAGGATCGAACTCACAGCCTCCTGATTGTGAGGCAAGAGCTCCACCTCTAGGCCATATTATTGAATAAGCCCAATGATGGGTTGCAGACGGTACACCCCAGTATGGGCCTACCGGATCTTGCCCAGAGCACCGGGTACCATTCTGGTACGGTGCTTCGGAGGGCTCACCTGCCCGCCCAAGATCCTTACCTGTGCTTAAACTTTTGGCGCTTTCGTACATGCGTATGGCATGTACAACACCTG